TGAAGAATGGAGAAGAAGGAAGGAGGGAGGGTGGGGCACGTAAACGAGAATGATCAGCTTGCAGAACTGGGGGAACCTATATAGATGACAGCCAGAAGGAGCATGTTTGGAGGCGTGGTCCTGCTCCTGAAAGTCCGATACATAATCTCCAATAAATGTAGTAATTATTATCTTTTTAATAACCTTTATTTTTTTATAAAGACTGAACATCACTCATTAAAACCGATTCAGTTTCACAATATCAGACCGTTAGCATGCTTCTCTGAGAGCTGGACAGAGTAAAAGCCTTTTGTTTTGACTTTCAGATAAGAAGTGAAGGATGTCTCTTCAGGAGATCTTCTGGAGACCCTCAGCTGTCACTGCTGTTTTGGTGCTTCTAACACTTCTCTTCTGCAGAGGTAAATGTATACAGCAGATACCTGCAACTTAGCAGAGCTACAGTTTGGACAGATCCATATCATGGCAAACCTCTGATGTTCCTGTACACTATCTCAGACACCTGGTTGTGCTTGCATTGTGCTCATTCCCAGCTTGTACCTTACCTCATGTTGCTATGTGTCAGATAGTCTCTGGGACACCTTGGGGCAGCTTGTAGCTCTGGTCCTGTTGGTTGTGGTAGAGTCCTAGCTCTGTGGATCTGATCTTAGGGCCTCTTCTTGTGCTGCCATGATCGGAGCCTCTGTACAGTCCTGTAAGGTGGTTTTTTCCAACCACTGGTGGGATTTCTTGATACCAGCCATTTCCTCAATCGGTCGATGGTACATCCCATGCAGGTGTTTGGTCGTCCATGACAGTTTCTGTCCTGTTCCTCCTCATTATCTTCTTCAGCTAGCTCATGGAGTCTTGAAGCAGCTGATCTCAGGGGGTCATTTTCCTGATGTATTCATGGATGGTTCATGTTTAATCCTGGATTGTGGTTCTGCCACATGAATTCTCACCCTCCATTTCTCTGTTGCTCATAGAGCATCAGGATGCTGGACTTTGAGTGGAATCCTCCACGCATAATAATCTGTATTTGTCTTTCCATCAGTCACATCTATCTTCTAATGTGATGATTTTGTTACTCCAGCTGAGTATCTTATGACTGCTATAAAATAGTATGTATAAAGCTGTACTATTAGCCTTGTACAGTGCTATACACCGAGGCAGCATCCATGTGTGAGTCGTAGTTTTTCTTGAAGTCAATCCAGGCAGTGCTCACATTGGTCTACCTGGTCTTGAGGTCCAGCTGCACTACACTGTCAACCAGGAGCTGGGGCCTGCTGGTTTGTTCATGTATTGACTCGTTTCTACTCAGCTTGGTTGCTACGATGCCTGAGAGGAGCTTCTGTGTTGTAGATAGGCAGCTAATCGGCCTGTTGTTGATGGTGTGATACGAGGGTGCCGGGATCCTTAATGATCAGCATTGGTTTTCACTGTGTTAGTCATTCTGGATGAGTCCCTGCTGTTAGTAATCTGCTCATTTGTGCTGCAATCACAGCATGCCATTAGCTTCCTCAGTCAGTAGGCATGGATCCTGTCAGGTCCTGATGCTTTCCAGCTCTTCATTCTGGAGACTCATTGTTAGTTGTCTGCATTTCTGATGTTGACTGACTCTCTGTGGTCTACTCTTAGGTCCACCACCCACTTGCTGTTAGTGTTGTGTGATGTGCCCGTCTCCCAGATGTTCTTGCAGGCCTTGTTCTAGTCTTCTCTTGAAGCTGAGAGTACACCTTGGATTAATATTTGGAGAGCAGCCTATTTACTCTCCAGGCCTCTGATTCTCTGGCATATCTCTTCAGCCTCAAACGAGTGAACAGACCTGTGAGCAGTTGTTTGGCAGTTTCTAGAATCTCAGTCATGAACATCTTGCTCTTCATCATTTTCATCCAGGACCCATCTTGTAAAGCTCTACAGAGTGGAGAAGTTTCAATGTGTGAGACAAAAACTGGCTTTTTTTCCATATGAACCCTAAAAGACCAATTCTGCTGGAGGCGTAACACAAGGTAACAATGGTAATATTTTTATTTAAAAAATGTATTTTACTAATTATAGAAGCATCTAGAGACATCAAACTCTTTTTTTACAGTGAAGAAAGAGGTGAAATTAAAGAAAAAGGTCTGTCCAATTACCCTGCATGCAATGGCTCAGTGGTTTCTCTTGTCTCCCTTCCTCAGCTACAGCATCTACACCCGTCATAAAGGTGATGTCAAATGTCAGCAGCAGGGTGGTGTTACAGTGTGAGTCTGCAGGCTGGTATCCAGAGCCTGAGCTGCTGTGGTTGGACGGTGAGGGAAACCTCCTCTCTGCTGGACCTACAGAGACCCTCAGAGGTCCTGATGACCTCTATACTGTCAGCAGCA